CACGCACGCACGCACGCACGCACACACACACACACTCTAATGGCTCTAAATGTCTTTGACACTTATAGTCTGACAGAGGGGGACAAGAAAGAACTGGTGGAGTGGCCAGGACTAAAACCCTCCTTGAGGAAATCGTACTGCTGCGTACACAATACCACCCTCAGCCACCTGTGCCCATAAATATGGCGATTTGATCATGTGATCCACATAATGTTATGTTACCTGAAAACCATCAATAGATGACAGAAAGACAGAAAGAAAGAAAGAAAGAAAGAAAGAAAGAAAGAAAGAAAGAGCAGAATCTCCAGTTTCTGTTTACATACGCGCTAGCATTAGCATTCATTACAGCACAGCTAGCTGCCACAAGATATAAGAAAACTCCCATGAGCCATTGCTTCTAAACATGACCTGTGGGATTTTCTATGATTTGTTAATTATTTATAGCAATGGCTTGCCATACTCATCACTAGTTTGCTAAATTATTAATGAGAATTACTCTAAATCCAATGCAAAATGGCCACCACAGACCTCAACTAATCAACTTTAGCAAAACTGAAAACAAAAACTGCTACAAGTCACTCAATTCATCTTGAGCTACGATTTGGTGTGGTAGTAGCTGAGAGTTGCACCCGGCACTTAATTTATACTGTTCTCACAGCATGTTGGAGGCAACACAGTTTGTTAGCTAAATATCTCACGAACTGCTGRATGAAACTTCCAGACATTAATCACTACATGAGCACTACAAATTATTAATGGTTAGTCTGATTTAAGACAGCTTTCACACCAGATTATARACAGAAAAAAGGGGATAACGCAGTCAGTTTTCCAGACTCTGAGCTAAAATTAGGTTTGGTAGTAGCTGAGTCATCCTCAACACAAAGCCTGAGCTCCAACACCTTACAGTAAAGATTAGGTCGACTGTTTTAAAACAATACAATCACYTTAGTGTGAAACTTAATTTATCAATGTTTTTGTTCCAGCACTCTGTAAACTTATGTACCTTCCAGTAGATGAGCCTTTTAAGACTCAGAAGGTCAAAAAATGACAAAAAAAAAAATCATAAAGTCAAGGATTGTTAATCCTCCATCTTGAGCCTCAAACACACCTCGTCTCTATTATGCTGGAAATAACGGCGGTTGAGAGCTGGAGGTCGGCGTGCTCGAGATGAGGAAGACAAATCATCTTTTCATTATGGCGGCGAGAAGAGGAGGGGAAGAGGCGCAGAGAGAGCAGAGCAGGCAGGAGGGAAATGAGACGGAATAGAAAATGAAGATGGATGATTTGGTCAGATGAGACAGAAGAGCGCAGGTGAGCAAACACTGCCTCCAATAACGTTACTGCTGAACAAAAAAAGGGCATTTCTCCATTCATGTCTGTATTCTACACAAATAAATTCAGTGAAAAGGGATTTGATTCACATTTACGTACTCATAACTCATGATAGATATCAAACTTAAGTATATAAAAAAACTACATTGGTGTCTTTAATCTTTATTCAAATAATTTATTAAAGGGATAGTTCACATTTTTTTCAGTTTTAATTTGGCGATGATACAGTGAAAAATTGTGTTGAATAAAAACAGAAAAAGATTTATTAACAGAACAACATTCACATAACTTCCAATAATCAAGTTTGTTTAAAAAAGTATTAGATTTTCCTTTGGTATTGCTGAGTAGTCATACTATAAAAACAAAAACAAGTTGTTGCTGAATATTWTTACATGACAGATGGATTACAATACAATGGTCATAACAATATATTAATTTAAAMAAGGTGAAATATGAACATTTTTCCTCGTGTCTTCCTGCCTTCTCGYCCTCAGTAAGGCTCGTTTAGAAAAGGCTACATAATAAACAATATCTTACCTGTTGCAGATACCTCTATGATTGATCAGTTTGAAAAATATAAGATTAATTTTGTCTAGTTTGAAGAGTTACTGGCTAGTCTGAACACTGTTAAGAGTTTTATGTTTCATTATTTACGTGCATTTTATGTTTTTTTTACAAACCCACAAGTCAGCTGTAGGACCTTTAAGATTTATAAAACAGTCTGAATTTCTGTGAAGATGTTTTGAAAGTTTGTTGCCCTCATTTAAAGGGAACCCCGACTAGTTGTAACATTTGAGAAATATTTGCTCCAACGGTATAACAAAGACAGTTATTTACGCTGCAAAGCATACTGGGTAAATTATGTTCAAGGTTCTTTGCTTACTAATAAACGTGCCACTAGTTTATATATAGATAACGTGATATCGCCATATAGACATATTAGCTAGGGCGCTAACGCCATATGTATATGTATTAGCTCAGGCGCTTAATACCACATTAGCTCAGGCGCTAACGCCATATCACCATATGTATATGTATTAGCTTGGGTGCTAACGCCATATGTATATGCATTAGCTCAGGCACTAACACCATATCACCATATGTATATGTATTAGCTTGGGCGCTAACGCCACATTGCCCTATGTATATGTATTAGCTCAGGTGCTAACGCCATATGTATATGCATTAGCTCAGGCGCTAACGCCATATCACCATATGTATATGTATTAACTTGGGCGCTAACGCCATATGTATATGCATTAGCTCAGGCGCTAACGCCACGTCACCATATGTATATATATTAGCTAGGGCACTAACGCCATATGTATATGCATTAGCTCAGGCACTAATGCCATATAACCATATGTATATGTATTAGCTTGGGCGTTAACGCCATATCGCCATATGTATATATATTAGCTCAGGTGCTAATGCCATATCGCCATATATACAGTATATGTATTAGCTCAGGCCCTAACGCCATATCACCATATGTATATGTATTAGCCAGGGCGCTAACGCCATATGTTTATGTATTAGCTCATGCGCTAACACGATATTGTCATATGTATATGCATTAGCTTGGGCACTAATGCGATATCACTTAATGAATATGTATTAGCTCAGTTGTTAACGCAAAAGCTAACAGGCAAACTGATGTTCTTCCAAGTAGAATTATATTAGTTTTCCAAACGAAGGTCGTAAAAAAGGTTCCTACAACAGGTAGCCACATTTCAAAAGGAACAATAGTCATATTTTAAATTTACTGAGGAAAAAGGTAAATTAGAACTTCACAAAACAATTCAAACATTTCAGTTTACATGCACAAAGTCACAAAAAATCTTGATAAAAAAACTACCAGAACCTAAAGAAGTATTGAACCTTTAAGTGTCCACACAGATTTGAAGGTAACAGTAACTCAGTTAATGCGCRACTTCAGACTCCCACATGGCTGTGGAGGTATTTTGGCCCACTCTAATTTCCAACTTAGCCTTTAGTTCCATTGAGGTTTGCAGACATTCGTTTCTGCCCACTTCAGTCAGGTTCAGATCTGGACTTTGAACGGACCACTCACTCATTACGGTTTTTATTTTTGAGCCATTCTGTTGTAGATTACTTTCTGTGTTCGGGATCATTGTCCTGTTTTATGACCCACTCTCACATTCGACTCTAGAAAGCTCTGGTCTACGCAGGAGTTCATGGTCAACTCAGTGACTGAGAGGTGTCCAGATCCTCTAGCTGCAAACCATCACCCCTCCACCACCGTGTGCCACAGTTAGTTGGAGGCGTTTGTGCCGATATGCTGTTTGGTTTTCTCAAACATGGTGCTATGCATTATGGGTAAATATCTTTGCTTTGGTCTCTTCTGTCAAAAAGACCCTGCTGTTTAAGAGATATTATCTGTGTTTTCCCCTTCAAAATAAAACAAACTTCTTTAATCTTTATCAAACTGTCATGAACTTTTAACCTTTGACCCGCTGAGGGCTGTCCTGTAGACCAGTGGTTCCCAAACTTTTTATCTTCTGACCCACAAAATATCCATGGCAAAAACTTGTGACCCCAAATATTAGTGGTCTGAGTACACAAACTTTGTTAATAACCCTAAAAACACAGGCTTTTTGACAATCTAAACAGCTTGTACACAAATATAAATACTTATTTATACTTATTTTGTGTTTTTGTAATAATTATAGGGAAAATATTACATCAGCAATTATTTTATTACCCTTTAAATTGATTCCTGGATATTATCCAAGGTGCTTTATGACCCATAATTGGGTCCCAAGCCCAACGTTGGGAACTAAAGTGCAGTGGTTCCCAAACTTTTCAGCTTTTGACCCACAAAACAACAGTAGCAGACACCTGTGCCCCCAACTGTTTCTGGATGATAAACATTTAAGTCAGGTCAATAAAACACGGGCACAGTAACAATATTTTTTATTCTAAATTTATCCATTTTAAACACACTAACTTCACTCCTTTGTAACAACTAAGGCAAAAATGTAATTAATTTTGAAAATCTTTTCAGGACCCCAGCTTGATTTTTCAGGACCCCATTTTGGGTCCCGACCCCAACTTTGGGAAACACTGCTAGAGAGCACTGCACAGTGTGACTTCAGGGTGATCACTGCTGATGTTTTGTTTCGTCTCCATTTCCTGAGCAGCCAACTCTTTGTCCTGATGCGTCAAATTTTAGAAACTAAAAGAGGGTAGGCATTCAAAAAGTCACATTTTGCTTTCAGTGTAAAATTCAGCAGCACAAATCGATTGCTCAAACTGTGAAAAAACATTTATGATTGTGTAATGCTGAAAAAATGTTAGACAAAAACTAGAATTTTTATGTTGGTTCTCGGCGCCTGAAGAAGTTGTGTTCAGTGTTTATTATTAGAGTTCTGAGAGTTCTTTATTGAGATATGACTGACATTAAAATAAATCAAGGACTTCTTTTTAAAATACAAAAACCCAAACTATGAGAAATCTTGAAACGTAGATAAACCGTTAGTAAGTTATTACCAACACTAACACTAACTAATCCTGTTTCTGTTTGGAGTTTTATAACTGAAACTGGTCACACACACACACACACACACACACACAAAAGTCTTTTGGACCACTTGAACATGCTGAGTAAGACGACTAAAGTTCTAGGGAAGCTCAGCTCACATCGTGGCGTCAGGCTCCTGTCCTGCTGTAATGCCACTGAGCAGGGCACTGCTGCGACTCCACTGCAGCCACCGGAGGGTGGGTTTCAAACCATCATGTGCTCTCCTCCAGCCTCAGTGCTCACTTCCTGTGGAGCGACAACTCAGTTCATCCCTCCTCTGCTGATATTTCAATGTTCTTGTTGTTTTGTGTAAAGCGTCCGGGTGTTGCTCCGGCTCTTGATTTGGAAAAGCTGTAAAAAAGTTACAGAGGGAATTCTGTTACAAACAGATCAAAAAATAAGGAAATAAAAATGGACGCAAAAGAAGCTGATTAAAAGAAGATGACATACCTGGAGTTTATCGATTCTCTTGGTTTTACGTTATGTTTGCTCCTGAAGGGGAAAAAAACAAAATTAGTTTTAAATGCAGAAAATGATTAAAACAACAGAATATAATCTTGAAGTCTTCGGTTTTACTTTGTTTACTCCCCCCACACACACATCCACACACACAAAGTCAGAATGACAAAGCCAAAAGTCAACACGGGAGCTATGTTAAGGAATGAAGCAAACACGGATGTTGATGAGCATCATGTTTCTCCCGCCCTAAAACAAATTTGGTTTGGATGTTGATTCAGTCGAGCCTTGAAGAATCCAGCCGAGCTTGTGATCAATCCTGACACAAAGGCGGTCATGTCTCCAATTACAGATGCCAAATATTTGAAGCTGATCTTTGTTTTTTTCCCCCCTACATAACTAAATAAACATACCGCAAAAGATAAAAAATAAAAACCCATGACGATGACTTGTTAAAAAAGCATTTTAGGGAACTTTGCTTGAGATTTTAGTAAAACTTTGCATTTTTTTTCAACTTCATCAACATGGCTTGTATAAAAAAGTCAGTTAAATATGTGGCATTATCTAAATTAATGTATGATTACAGAGAACATGGCTGACAGGCTGAGATTGAACCTTTATTACTCAGGGGGAAAAGAGCAGATGAAATTGTTGGGGGCTCGTCCGGGATTTCAACTTGAGAATTGAACTCCTAAGCTGGGCTCAGTTGAGGATAAAAAGGAGGTGAAATATTTTGTAAGGCGTGGTTTTTATAATGCATTTCACTGTGACAAAATTAGGTCTACAAGGACGTCTTTTAAAACATTTCTAAGTCAATTTGTTACAGTTTGAATGTGTCACATCAGTAGAAATGTCTTTTCGAGACAAAACATCTAAAACATTTTGAGACTATAGTGTTTAAACTTTGAGGTAGGCCCTTACAGACTACAAGTCAGCTTGTCCATCTGGTCAAATTTACAATATTTCTTCAAAAATAAAAATAAAAGTTTATTTTTTTTCACTTCATATCTTTTCACCAAATTCAAATATCTCAGATACTTCTTATGAAATCAGAACAAATAAAGGGAAACTGGCAGGAGATGGGCAAAAAAYAACACTTTTGGGAGAGGCTTTAATCAAAATTGTTAGTGTAAGAAATGAACTGAGTCGTTTCTGCAGATGAATATATGTGAGGGTAAACCCAAATTACTCGTCAGTTTGAACATTAAATTAGAAGCCAAGCATGGATGCTGCTCCTGATCACCTGCAGCGCTGCGCTTTCATTTAACAGACTTCCTGCGATGGAGACAGAAGACAGCCGAGCTGGAGGCAACAGGCGAGGTTTTTTTTCTCCCCCCTTATCATGAATGTTCAGATAATCATTTTGTTAACTCTGCAACAATTACATCCAGTTACTCGATTAGAGTAAAAACGCTGAAGTGGCAGGAAGCTAATTATGTCTGCAACGCAAATATTTCTTTTCTTCGGGAATCTCTTAAATGTTCATATTTAAAAAGAAAAAAAAAGAACGAGGCTTCTCTCTATTTTCACCTCTATAATTTTTTTCTATATAAATGCCCACCTGTAACTATCTTAATTTTAGAACATTTATACAAAAAAAATGTAATTAAGTTGGACTTAAAAGGATAAATAAATCTGAGATACATTCAATGAAGAAGCTGACATTTTTCAAAGGACACATTTACAATAATATATATCGCTTTTATTTGTATATCGTGATGTAAAAAGAAAAGAAAAATGTTAGAGTTACAAAAAAGCCAGGACCTTCTTACTGTGAGGCACTTAATTAAAAAAACGTAAACATCTACCGGTAAACAGCACTCCTTGAAGGAACCTGCTGCCTTGTGTGCTAAAGTGCTCAGATTACATGTTGGGAATAATTTTCAGCTACTACCACACCAAATTTCAGCTCAATATCAGTAAAACAGACTGAGTTGTAGCCATTTTTCTGTTTGCTAAGCTCATTTAGCTGTGGCGGCCATCTTGCATCGGATCGACTCCAAACGTTAATCAGCTATAGTTGAACATCCAGATATTAGTTTCTGTGAGATTTGTTAAAATACAATCAATGGTCCACACAATATTTTGCTAACAGACGAACCAAACACTAGCCTGCCTTAAAAGGCAGAAACCGATGAGGTTTTGAGAGGACGAACCTGTTGGGACTCTGACGTGGTCCGGCTGTGGGCTGCCGCTCCTGTGGGCGTTGAAGGAACGCTCCCGTTGGAGTCCATCACCAGAAGAGTCTTCCGATCCCTCGCTGGTTTTTCACACTTTGTCACACGAAACCTGAAAAGAATCAAAAAATGTAAAATAAAATTAAAAAACATATAAAATAAAGGCTTTGACATATTGAAGGCTTGAAGCTTCCCCGTCATCAATTAACACAAAAATTTATTTACTTTAAAGAGTCAAAATGAAGCTAAATGTAGTTGATTTTTAACTAAGCAGCACAAAAACGAGGCTCTCGGTTCTCGTCAGCGCTGTGTTTGGTCTCTCAGAAACCAGCCACACCTGAACCTGATGCCTCTGTAATCCACTCATTCATTCAGAAGCCCATCGTACGCCACAGAGCTTTAATCRAACCGGAGAATGAACATTGGTTTCCAGGTCACGCCGACTCCTTGGCGTGCACCGCCGCCATCACCTGAGAGTGAAACAGCAGCTTCTCTGCAGGACGTTAAAGATGAGAAACTGAGATGAGGCTCGGTCGGCCTCGCTGATGGACAGAGCTGATCTCTTTACTGGAAACTAGTCTCAGAACCAGCAGGGTGTCGTTTTGATCCAGACTCATCAAAAAACTGGATGTTTGATTTTCTGACAAAGAAGCCATCATAAATCTTAAAAAAGGACAGTTCATACCTGATCATCAGCTGTCCACAGAACCACAGTTCTGTGGACAGCTGATGAACAATAATCATCCTACCTGCTGTAGATATGAGAAATTGTTCAATCCTGAGCAGTGTGATGAGCTAACAGCTAGTCAGAGTGAGGCTTTGGTGGTATGACAGTATTGTTGTATCCCTCAGTACTGAAATGTGGTGACAGTATTTAGAAATTATGACGGTACATTAACCCACTAAAGCAGAGTCACATGACCCATTTAAAAGCCCTTCAGTCGGAAAGATAAGCTTTCTCTGAGTCTCAATTTGAATTTGTGTCAAAAGTAGAAACTTAAACAAAAAACTAGAAGCACTCGGAGAGAGCAAACCTCCGCCAAGTCCAATTTCCCCCATCCTGTAAGAGTTAATGCACAAAAGCAGAGATGGAAACACATTTGCYGAATAAGTTGTGACGTAGCGAACATTTAAGCTGGCAGTATGCACGGGATTTCTTCCCGGTGGAGTCCAATGTGGAATGAAAATAAAGTCAGACTCGTCACCCGACATTACTCATCGTCAAACTGGTGTCGGATTAAGCTCCTAGGTTTTCATCAGTCACATTTCACCGTGTAAAACGTCTGTTTTATCCCCTTGTATGAGTTTGTAATGGTTTGACTCTCTTTATAAAGTGCTTCCTGGTACAGTCGGCTCATGAAGCGAGTGGGTCAGTGCGACCGAAAACATTACCTCGCTCCTGGTCTCATTTAAATAATAATAAAAATGAACAAACAAACAAACAACCTCCGAGTCTGAAGTTCACCGCACCTGAGTGTGTCAGTCCTCTCCTCGTTCTTCATCGATCTGTGTAGCCTAACGACAATGTGGTGTGTTTGAGGAAATGGGGAAAATAGGTTCATGTTGCAGTCACGCACTTCCTGGTCACAAGACGTTCTCCAAATGCGCACCAAATGTGTAAAAATGCGCACATTATGGCAAGACTTATTCATCATTACATCTGGTTTTAACATTACTTTTATAAAGTTTGAAGTCCGTGCTGCGTAATCCAGTTCAAATGAACACTGAAATCTGTCACTGTTTTTTTACAGAAGCCCTGTGAAAGCATCACAGCTTTGCCGATCTCAGAGGATTAATAGAAAAAAAAATCCTGTATCTGCATCGTGATCCGGAACATCACCTAAATTTAATGGTGTCTTACTTGACCCAGTACCCACATGTGGAGTAAATATCATGACAATCTGTCCACAGGTTTTTGAGTAATGTTGTCCACAGACAGGCTGACCGACAGACGCGACCGAAAACATTACCTCGCCGCTGGCGGAGGTAACAAAAGAAGTCATGAGCAGAAAACGCTACAAAGAAGAACAAGAGGGATTGATGGCCGGGTGTCACGTGACTTTATAGATTCACGTGGGTCACCGGCAATTCTCGACCTGCGCATGCGCAACAATGATCATTCAGTGGTAGGAATGAAACACGCACATGCACACGCAGCTCCGCAGCAGAACACACCCACAAAAGTGTGTCTCCCTAAATAATGTTTCTCCAGAGGGCGCACCGCAAAGGCTGTAAAATCCCAAGTACCCCCAGCTGCAGACCACGGAAAGGGGCAATGGTTGTACAGTAGGCGGGGTCGGGAAGTCCAATGGGTGTGGTCACGACTCATCGGGAATGTGGTGATGAGGCTTGAAAAATCGGGAGTGGTTAATTTAAGCATTTATCATCTGGGGTTGGTTAATTTTGGAGTTGAGGGCGGGGTCAGACATCCGACCCCGCCTATTATCCGACCCTGCCCCATTCTACATTCTGCAGCGAGGGGTTACTCTAAAATCCTGAACTATGATCGTATTATACGTAAATGAATATGGTATGTCCGTTTCTTGTAGTAGCTACGTATAGTACTTCCTGTACAGCCTGGGGCATTCTCCGCAGGAGTCACATTTTAGTTGGAAAAGTCTCAAAACACAAAACTGATGACATTACAGAATTTATAAAAGTTTGCATGAACCATTATGATTTTTTTAAGACTGGAGTTGTTTTAAGATGACTCAATCTACTTTGGTCTTCAAATAAGCAGAACGCTACATCACTACACGTCTCACACGTCCATCAAAACGACTTTCTGTTCCTTAGATTTTTTTCTTTTCTTTTCTTTTCTCGAACACTCAGCTTTCCTGAATTTACTGCCTCGACACAATTTGCTGAATGAGTCGGTCGGCTGCGCTGAGACTTTAACTGGCAGATTTCCAGCAGTCCACCAGCTGTCTGATGAAGAAATCCTGCTCCAATTAAAGAAAAAAAAAACTTCTGGTTGGACTTGAAATTTATGTTGGGGATTGACTGAACAGAAGAGGCTCAACTCTGAAACTTTAAACATTAAAACACGAACATCCAGAACATCTAGGAGTTGAACATTTGAAACACAAAAACATAGGGATGAATACATCCAAAATGGGAAAAAGTATTAAACACAGATGCAAAAAATTGATATTTAAATCCAACGTTTAAATTTGTTAAAAACAATACAAGCTGGTAAAAATGTTCAAGTTAATAAAATAGAAAAAAAGGATTTAGTTGAGTTTTATTTTGTTTCTTTCTGAGGCTGAGAAATGAAAGTTCTGCATTAAATATTATTTCAGACTTTTTTGCTCCCAAGTGTGAGCAGGAAAATTGTTTTTGAAAAAAGAATCTCTAAAATAAATTTACTTATGCTGGCTTTAAGGAAAGTGTCCAAAAACCCAATAAAATAAATTATATGGTTAGTCAAAACGACATAAATATATCTTAAAAAAAAAGGAATAAAATTCTGTCAGGTCCGATTTATTTTTTAACCCAGGAATACAACCAAATCAGTTTGTTAAATTATTGGGGTACAAATATAAAAAGTATACTTTTGTGTCATCCTAAATCCTTAGAAACAAACCAGAACAAAAAAAGATTTAAACATTTTAATTGTGAAAAATTGTGAACATTTTAAATATTGAAACACTGTTTCTTTGTAGGAATACCAYGTAGAGCTCAATTATTGTTTGCTAGCAGTGCTCAGGAACATGACGCTTCATGTTTGGTCAAAGTTAAACACAAAATGTCTAAATCATTTCAACTCGTCCTTTGAGGACCACAAAAAAACCCGTGGCCCTCGGTGAACGAGTTTGATATCCCTGAGTTTGAAGATTAAATCTAGATGTGTTTTATTCAGTCTTTGTACCAATAAAATCTGATCTGTTTAATAATGAAGACAAGAGTGGATTTATTTTACCTTCAGACATCAACTGTGTAAAAAAAATGAGAAAGCAAGGTTTAGGTGTAGAGTGAAGAACAGATTCCTGCTCCTCTTTTCTTTTAACTTCCTGCTGTTCATCTGGATCATTTCCWCCTCAGAGCTGAATCCTATCAGTTTTAGATTACATATGCGGCAAACTGCAGCAGGTAACCACAGCCTTTAAAGATTAAAAAGAAAAAACATTTTTTACAGGAAGAGAAAAAGGAAGAGGAAGTCAGTAAATGAGTTTAAAAAATGTCTGTTTCCAGGACTTTTCAGGTCAGAGTAAACTTTAGCAGGAGGTCGGGTCAGAAACCAAAGCCTCGGTTTTCCCAGGCTTCACMGTCCCGCCGCCGTGTTTGTTCCAGGTCACCAGTGAACCCAGTCTGTGGGATTAAAGACGGGTTTATCATTGGTGATTATCCAGAGTTAATGTTTGATCGGTTGGACTGTGTGTGTCCACTCCTGCTGGTTCTTTAAGTTAACTGTAAACGTTTGAATTACATAAAAAGCAGGTTGTGGGAAAGGATTCTGAGAAACACTGGRGGGAAAAAATCACTGGAACGCAACATTAAAATCTATTTTTAATCTTTCTCGTACGAGTCAAACACAAAAACATTTGTTCTTTTAACCTGACGGGGACTTTGCATTGGCTTCCATTCGTTAACCGGTCCTTTACATAGCCTAACCCTGACCCACCAAMGGTATTTCCCCTGAYGGGGACCAGGTTTTTGTCCCCATAAGGAACAGTGTACCGGGAAAATGTTCCAAAATAATCTCCACGAGGTAACAAAAACACACACAAACACACACCTGCCCACAGCCAGGACCGTGACCTCTCCCAGATGACTGCGGCGCTGCTCCGGCTTGCGGGCCGACGGCTTCCTCATCAGCGGCCATTTTTTCTGGCTGCAGCGAGTGCAGATGTTGGCCTGGCCGCCCAGGCCGCCGATGGTGTGCAGGTGGTTGCAGGTGTGCTTGGCTGCTGCCGGAGGGGCTCCTGGTGAAACGGGGGTCATCGATGGGGACAAGGACCCCATGGAGGTGGGGGTGAGCGGCGGCCTGAAGACACCAAGAGAACAGGCTGTAAATAAACATCTATAATTAACCCATCGTGGAGACATTAAAGAGCTAGTTCAGATATTTCACAGTTATCWACAGCGCAGCGCTTTAAAACATCTGAACTGTCACATTAAATCAAATTCAGACACAGTTCTAGAAATTCAACACGCAAACCAATAACCTCCATTTAATTAGTTTCCCAGAGAAAATTTCAGCTTGTTCAGTTCTGCAGCGCTTCTTTTATTGTAGGCTGTCACCGCTGAGCTAGAACGTAACATTTCAAACTTCTAAGCAACAACTCWTTGATTTCTTTTGAAAAGAAAAACAAAAAAATGATAGGAAATGTCCTGAGCTGTGGAAAAATGATTCAGGGATACAAAACATAGTTTTTTAGTAAAAATAAAAAAACACAACCAGAAAGAACTAAGTGAGGTCATTTCTCTTGTTTTAAATTTTTTTTAATTGTTTTTTGAAGATATGTTTGTCTTCTAGAAAAGCCTGGAGAGCAGCTGCTCTCATTGTTTAAACACAAAGGGGAAAAAAATGCAGCTTTCAAAGAGAAATTTTGAAGCAAACATTAGAAACACTGTTGATCCATCAGCAGGTGGCGCTATATTCTACATTCCTCATGGCTTTATTCAGCCAAARCAGACACAATCACTACCAGTGAAATATAAATACACTGTAGTGACGGGTGGGGCTAGGTGAGATTCAGGGCCACCATCTTKTCAGGTGCTACACTTATCACTGTGTACAGTTGACATGTCAAAACCACTAATTAATAACACCTTGTGTGTGCTGTATGCTGTCTCATCAGTATTCTGTTACGTAATTATACATCAGGGATTATTGAACTAAAGTCAAAGGTCAAAACTGATGGGGGTAAACTGCAGACCCAGTGGCTTACCACAATCAAATATCATCATTATAGCCAGAGAAGTACATAACTGTATTTTAAATACTTATGTCTAACCAGAGCTTAACTACCAGTGTCTTTAGTTAAATGTAATTCGACAGCTYTCTACAACACTCCATCTTCTGCTGTTGATACATCGTCAGGTCGCGAAGGCAGAAGGTGCAAGAGAGAAACCCAGACTTCCCTCTCCCCAGCAACACTTTCCAACTCATCCTGGGAGACCCCGAGGCGTTCCCAGGCCAGAGAGGATACATGATCCCTCCAGTGAATCCTGGGTCTTCCTCGGGTCCTCCTATCAGTGGGACGTACCCAGAACACCTCTAAAGGGAGGCGTCCAAGAGGCATCCTAATCAGATGAACCACCTCAACTGACTCCTTTTGATGAGGAGGARCAGTGGCTCTAATCCAAGCTCCCCCTGGATGATGGAGCTCGTCACCCTCTCTCTAAGGRCGACCCCAGTCACCCTATGAAGGAGGCTCATTTTGGTCACTTCTATCCAGGATCTCATTCTTTTGGTCACGATCCACGCCTCATGGAGGGTGAGGGTTGGAACGTAGACAGAACAGTAAATGGAGAGCTTTGCCCTTTAACTCAGCGCTTTCTTCACCACAACTGACCAAAACAACTACCTCAGTACTGAGAAGCCCCAATCTGTTGATCCATAACATCTTCCTTTTAAGCAGTGTTGTATAAAGTACCACAAAGTGATACTTGAGTAAAAGTACAAGTATCTTACCTAAAAAATACTTTGGTAAAAGTTAAAGTCTCCTTTGGGAATGTTACTTGAGTAAAAGTCTTAAAGTCTCTGATATTTTTGTACTTAAGTATTAAAAGTAAAAGTATTGATTTAAAATGAGCAGTTAGATTTTCTGTAATGACATTTTTTAGGAGGTGACCTCCACAAAAAAATGCAGAACTGACTATATTGTATTAAAATATTAATTTAAGTTAAATTTAGGATGCACTAGTCCAGCTGTTTCAGTTTATATACATATATCAAGGGTGTTAAAACACTTTTTTCAAAATGAAAATCTATCTGAGGGCTGCAGCCAAATGCAGTAATATAATTCATGAAATACAAACACTTTTTCAGTACAGTCCTTTATTTTAATGATTATGTCCTGCTGCAGTGTGACATGATTTGTTTGTGTACAAACTAATACTGTATCAGAATTTTATATATTTATACGTCTCATCCAACCACAATTAAATTCACTATCTAGGAAGCACAGTTTATATGGATAGTATTTATTTTTTACAATAACAAGCTGGAATGAAAACAAGCAAAAATGAAATAAAAGTAACGACTTTTTACTTCTTGCCTTTTTAAAAAAATGTAAGGAGTAGAAAGTACAGATAATTGTGTGAAAATTAAGAAGTAAAAGTAAAGGGTAGGCTGAAAAATAATTACTCAAGTAAAGTACAGATACCCCAAAAATTCTACTTAAGTACAGCAACAAATTATTTGTACTTAGTTACTTTACAACTCTGTTTTTAAAGACAAGATGTCACTAATACTGATATTTTTAGTTACATGGTATATGTCTGCCCTGTTTTAATACATCTAGTTTTAAGACTAGTATTTTTATAGAGGAAAAATGTAATACCACGTTTTTAGACATACAGATTCTACAACTTATGTTGACTAAACTTGGACTTCTTGGATGAGTTTTGTTTCCTTCTTCCCATCAGATAATCTCATGTCTGCTGGTAATAATTAGGACACCGCATATCTCCGATCAAAATAGGACAAATTCTGGCCTTGGCCCAGAACACACTGTGGTTGGCCATTCCTGTACATTCATATTTCTGTCATTATCACCATCTGGAATCAAAACGTCCAGGAAAAATCCACCAACACACCTAGTCATGTCCGCCATGTTCATGATTGTAAATATAGGTTTTAATTTTGAGAACGAATAACAAAACGAAATATCAGAATATCCTTCAGGCAAATCTATTCGTTTTTAAAGCACTTCCCATCAATATTCATAGCGCAAATGTAGAGTTGGTATCCCCAATGGGAAGTCTGAAACAAAACACAACAGAAAAACACGAAGAGGAGATCATGAACGGAGCTTGTTGTAGAAAGATGAAGGGGATTGAGGGGATGGAGCACCAAGGGGAAGTTGAGCAGCCAATCTGGAAAGGCAGATAGTGAAGCCCGGCCACACTGCAGTCACTTCTCCTGCTTTTTGCTTCTCTTCATCCCTCTTCTCCTCCTCTTGTCTGTCTCCCTACTCCAATGTGTCCCATAAATCACCCCAACCCCCATCTCTCTCCCCCACATCCACCATCTCTAAGTGATCCTCTGGCAGGCTGCCCACCCTGGCTGAGAGGAACAGAAAGAAAAAGATATGGACTCTAACAACCAGAGGAAGACGCAGAGAGCAATTTGAACTGAATGTGCCCCCCACCCAAAAAAAAAAAAAAAAGACGAAAATGCGGGAGAAAGATATCCGAAGAGGCAAAACACATAAAAGCAGCTGTGGGGAAGTGCAATCGCAGAATTCAAATGATCTTCTTGTCCCCCCGCCTCCCAAGACAACCAGTGTGACCTAGCAGGGACCGAAACACTTAATCCTGTGCAAAGGTAACCCTCCTGTTTATCCACACAGGTGTCCCATAAAAGACTGTGTCTCATCACTCTAACTGGTTTTCTCATACAACAAGAAGCAAACAGGGAAATGAAGAGAACAGCAGGAGGAAGAGGAGGGGGGGAAGATACTCCACTAACTCGATTTGCTTTGACTCCTTTACTGTCATTCGCATCTCCTCCTTCCCTTGAGTCTGTTTACTGAGCTCCCCCTCCCGTTTTCTTCTTCTTCTGCTCGTTACAGCAGAGTGATGACTGAGGGTCTGACTTAGCTCACAGCATCAGCCCCGGGTCCAACGAGTAAGAGACTTTTTATCCGGACAAATTTACAAGTGAAGGTCTGATGAAGGCTGAATAAAAGTCAGGTGATGTTTGGTCTGAAAAAGTCCTGCTAATCTGATTTAAGGATGTTAAAGACAGTTTAGTTATTATTATGGGCTCAACACACGAGAGGTGATGTCACTCCCTCTCTGTTCATTTCCTATGGAACTTGTGTGATGAGGCGACAATCGCTTTCCCTCCTCCAGCCAAGCGACCGGAGAAACTCGTTCATGTGAAATTTCGAGCTCGTACACGTAGATGTGCACATGTAAGCTTRCGACGCGACACATGAAAGTTGAAAAATGGTAAACTTTTGTTGCATGGCGCTACAAYCAGTCAGCRAGGGTTTCACTAAYCGACCAATGAGCGAAKAGTATGCTACAGTTAGCTACCACTTTTGACGTTATTTTAACTGTGTCAAACTCTCCAATTTTACATAATGCTTTACAAAGTGATTACYAAGATACACAAAAAAGGCAGCCGTATGGAAATTTGTTGGTGCCAGGGTGAAGTTGTCCGGTAAGTTTTTCACATAAAGTCGTATCTTAGCGTGTATTTTTTTTWAAATACCATTAGCATCACAAGATTTGTTTAGTTTATATGGCAGTAGTGCAAACCATTTTTTTTGCCRACCACCAATAAAATTTACAAGAAATTTCTTGAAGACAAGTGACCCGAGAGCACGATTTGCAACACTACCATCGCTATTGCATCCCGTGTGTTCGGGTTTCACTCTGGTTCTGATGACGGTCACTATTCGCTCTCGTTTGTCGAGCCCATTAGTGGTATAGGTATCTGGCCCGATACCAGCAATATTACAAATATTCATACAAAATGCCAAACTACACTGAACCAATACCATTACCAATAATAATAATAATAATAATACCAATAATAATACCAATAATAATAATAATAATAATAATATAGATACCAGTGTCGATACTCCATTGAACGTGTTTGTTCTCATTTAAGTGAAGAATTTGTCAGTTCCAGGATTAAGAAAATTTATACAAGTTGAAAGAAAACTGTACTTGGTATTTTTATTTTTATATAAATTTTCACTCAATCAGATGTTATTGTTTTTTTTTATACAGTTTTACATATACAAAAGCTGTATATGTAATATGTAAATATGTATATGTATATGTATATGTATATGTATAAAGCTGTAAGCCTATTTAGCCTTTGCAGCTACGTCACTTAATCATGTAGAGGTGTCATGATGGACGTTGGAAGTGAGGGAGGAGAGTACTGACTGATTGTCCCTACTGCTACACCAGAAGCAGGAAATATGGCAAATAACATGGAGCATAATGCTTAYATGTTGATGAAAAGGAAAAAGAACTGAATTCTTAATAAAACTACAAAACCAAACCTYAACCTTTTTGGCTTTAGATTRGAAGGTCTTCGATTAGATTAGGACTTCCTGCTCTGCTTTATTTGTTGTCCATCAACGCTCTCTGATCAATAAAGTAATACAGTTTATAAAAGTTTTGCTGTAGTTGAAAACTAGCATCAGCAACACAAACAGAAGCATATCATCTGTAGTTTTTTTAATGTTAAATGTTACATCTATTATGCTTGGTGCTTGGTTAGAGTTTGTTCTAGGGTTTCAAAAGGTTGTATTTTGGGTATCAACACAAAAACGCATGGATGGTGTTTCAAAAATATACTCACTCTGGAACCACTTTCAAAAATACTGTATCTTTTAGGAGGCTCTTAAAACACTATTTCCACGTAGCTGCAAGAATGGCACAATAAACGTCCATATTCCCAAACCCATGGTGAACAGGGTCTTYGTTATTTACTAAACCATGTGTGTCTTTGCAAACTAACTTTAGCTGCTTCACTTTTTAATTGGCTGAAATGATATCTTCTCTTTTCATTGCTCAATAAAATATGATGGATTCATAAGCAGAACTGTCTGTTAGTAAAATATCTCATGACCMGCTCAATATAATTTATTAGAACTCTCAGAGTAATCATGGATTGCAGATCTATAACTGATTAACTTCTGAAGTCAACTGGATTAAAGATGGCCACCACAACTAATCAGCCTAAACAAACACAAAAATGGCCACAACTCAGACAGTTTATCAGATATTGAGCTGAGATCTGATGTGATGGTAGCTTAGTCTTTCCCAACAGGCGATATGCATACATCCATGAAGGTTAATTAATATTTATTTGCTGTGGGGTTTTGTAGTCTGCTTGTGAAGAGTTTCTCAAACAGAGATTATTATTATTATTCGTTAAGCAATTAAAAACCACCATTTAAGCCTGACTTACCAAGGTGTCAGTATAAATTATCAACTCCTTTCAGAAGCCTTTGGTGAAGCTGTGAAATAATCCAAATATGTGGAGGAGAGATTTGAGATGTGACATGCTCCCATGAACTTAATAGAAACTTTTCACAACACTTTCTTTGGGGAAATTACACGGCGAGAGATGTTTGGACGCRGGATAATCCTAAAGCTTCAAGCTTATTGTAATTAAAAACTTTGAAACGAGTCGTCTTTAAACGCATCATGGCTCAGACAAAGTTAAAACAAACTGATAAAACAGTGTTCAGATATTTTTACAGTAATCCCATTTCTGATTYAATTAATCTACCAGTTTCCAAAGCACAGTTAATTAAAAATAATATTAAGCCTATAAGTTAGCTTTAATGATACAACTTGCTGCTGTAGAGATTTTGCTTTTATGTTGCAAACTCTAAAGAGAAGCAAACCTTAGTTTAGTTAGAAACATCACAAAACACTTTTATTCCAAACAACAGCAATTAATAATAAACCCTCCCATGTTCTGGATAATCAGCTGAATATTTCAGAACAAACGTGAGCTGCACATGTTTAAAAGTCTCAATTTTAGTTTTTTTTTTGTTCCCCTTGTGTATCCACACACAGTGCGACTTATCAGGCTAAAACACAGATGAGGGAAATATTCCTGAAACTCCGCTCAGTGTGATCGAATAAACCCACAAAGTGAGCGATGTGAGGGGCAGCDGCGTCTGTGGAARCGCTCCCCAGCTGCTTGTCCTCAATCAATCCTCGCAGATCTGGAGAAGAACGGGTGRAGAAATGTGGCCTGACTGCTTTGAGTGTTCTCGAGGGTCTTTACACGGAGGCCTGCAGTGCCCCCTGCTGGAGGACRTCTTTTACAGCAGGTGGTGCTTTTACTTTTAGGGATCTCTGCTCATGTTGGCCTTATTATGTTATTTCTCTATTCTACTAAAATATGTTTGACACATGAAAACATCTTATTACTTAAAAATTTGCATGTTTATTACATTTTTCACTTGAGCACATCAACATTTTGCTGCTGACGATGCATTTTGGAGATGAGACTAAAACAGAGTCAAGACTGAAAAGCTAAAATGCGTGACAACAAATCTATGTATTAGTTTCTATGTTCTTCACAATATATGGGTTAAACAATTAAATGTAATATTTTAGTAAATTAGCTCAATATAGTTAAGAAAGTAAGGAAATTTGAGTTTTRTAGTTTGTTTCTTTGTTGTAACAATGCTTCTTGGCAATAGTTCTTATGATCAGTCACCTGATTGCAGCACCTGGAGATACCAGAAGCTCAAAACAAGTGTCAAACAGCAAAATAAATKGTTTGGCAGAGACGATTTGGCCAATTTTCATGTGCACAACTACTCAGCTGTATTGSTCATCTCATRAAAGGCATGTTCCTTACAAATGTGGCACCGTTTAAAATGGAAATTCCAACAACAATTGCCAAGAAGCATTGTTACAACAAAGAAATATTCCACAAACCAGTAATTTCCTTATGTTTTTGTGCTAAGTAAGCTAATGTGAAAGCTAACCACGCTAAAGCTAACATTCTCCTTCCATAAAGCAGCTCTGTTGTCCTCCATCAGCATTTTCAGTTCTAGGTTGAGTCATTTCTACTTTCTCCTCTACGCCAACGCTCTCCATTTTCATATAAAGAAAATTAACGTTCAAGCCAGATACAGCTCGCACCGCAGCATGGGTAAATGTTATCATTTACCCACAACGCTTTGCAGTGTAAATATGGYGACGTCCGTGTGACAATATGTTTTTATAATTTATAAAACMTAAAAACAGCCTACACTTCCATATCAGGTGAACCAGAACAAGTCAAATCACTGCTTATATAGAGGAGTTGTTCTCAGGAAGAAGGGTTCTTACCCATCTGAATCGATGCTGTTGTCTTGAACCATGGCTTTGAGGGCATCCGAGTTTGCTGAGGACATTAAAAAAAGGAAAAAATGTCAGTGAGAGAGAAACGGAGGAGATAGGAAAAAAGTTATGTTGAGTATTTATGGGGTTTTAAAAAAGGGGAAGCTCCTGCTAAAAAACAACCTGGAAAAATAAACATTTTAATACATTTAAATGAAAAATCACATGAAACTGAACTCAGTTACAGTACACATTAAGAATCAGTCAACTGACTCAAAAGGTTTAAAAGTTCTCAGCAGTGCTCAGAGTTTCGGGCGCGAGAGATTRAGTTTAAAATTTATCACGCTAACAAACTGAGCGGACATCTCGTGATTTAAGATTTACATAATATACACACCGGTCCCTTCGCCGGCGACATCACGAGCACAAACAAAGAAASCGACGTCCTTAAGAGAAAGTGTGAAAGGACTTATGTAAGAGTTTAGTGTTGTGATTTCATACAAACAYGTCCTGACGTCTGACTCGAAACGCTGCCCCTCATCTGCACCGTGAACCCTCGTGTCATGAGAGAACTGTGATGTGGTTTTAATCTGCAGTGGCTGCAATAGTGGGAACATTTYGGGGTCATTTGTATTGTTTTAAAAAGGGATTAAGAATGTAAATTAGCACACTTCATTAACTCTAGAAAACAGTCTATAGTCTGTATTAAAAACTGGTGTCAACGCTCTGAATTAGGGTTGGGCATAATCGTATCATGTGCAATTAATCGTCAGAAAAACATTAATCGATTATTTTTTGGCACTTGACGATTAATACGATTAACGCCACCAGGCAGACTGACGGGAGATTTCCCCGGTTAGTCCGCTCGGTGCTCCTCTCCGCTTCAAATATGATGAACATTTTAAAAAAATTTGTAATTTATTTATCTATCAACACAATTTAAAATGTGATGTACGGTATAGCCCGAAGTCTGTAATTTTCACAATTTGGAACAGATTTTTATGAAGAGCAAATATTTCCCACTAAATTGGTCATGTGACCAGGACATAAGGGTGTCCAGGGGATTAATCGTCAAATTAATCGTTATCGGCTAAATACCACAATTAATTGTGATTAATTTTTTCCCCAATATCACCCAACCCTACTCTGAATATGCATTAAATACAGAGGTGGTTCAACACACTTTAATCAATGTTAATTTTGCTATTCTAAATGTAAAAGAACAAATGTACTGACCTGAATGGCAGAAAAAGTTATATTAAATCYATGTTAAATAACGAACAGTAGAAACAATAAAATGGATGAGTTGTCTTCATTTGTTTCATTTATGATCTGATTGTTTGAGTTGATTTGACCCACTGTACAGTAAAATGTGCCGCATCACTTTTTCCATTTAAATCAGCTTTATGCTCAGTGACACTAAAAGCTTGTTTTCCACTCAGAGAAAAGGTGATGGGATTTCACACAGGTTTAATTAAAAATGACCAGTAGGGGGCACTGTTTCTTTACTTTAAGTTTCTGCTGTTGAGGYGGAAACGTCAAGTGAAAACAAACACTTACTGTAAAATAAAAATACTGTTTTTATGCTGAAGGGTAAAACACAAGTAGTGTGTCCGAAACGTCTTAAAATAAACACTAATTAGGTCGCATGACATCAGCTTTCAAGTGAATCCAGTGGACATTGTGCAGCTGAGTCACAGTTAAAGGACTGCAGTGGCAACATGGAGGCAGTTCAAGGAAAACAAACACAAACAAACAAATCATTTCAAGCTGGGGACAATGACAGCGAGTCATAAAAGAAGTGTCAATCACCTGAATGTTAGTCACTCCGGACTGAAAGTTGAAGACGGCAGAAAAACTGTTTGTGTCAGAAGAGACAATTTGAAACTAAATTTCATCAGATTTCAGCACTTTTAGGAAACAGAGAGGACTAAAAAAAAACAAGACCATTTTCCTTTTAGGTACGTTTCATTTGAAGATATTCGTTTGATTAAAAACTTATRAAACAAGTCTCATCTGTTACTCTGAGATTGTGGAAATGTTCCCTCTGGAGTAAAAAAAAATTCTCTTTGGATCTTTTATATTTGTAGAACCTTGTTTTCTGACACTTCTGCTAAATTAAAGCAACCACATTTTTACTGTAACAACCTTTTTATCTTGAAGTCAAGAAATGCTTTTGCTTCTCTGCGTGTCTTATGACACAAACATTAAAAATAACTTTAGCTCGTGGCTATTGCCAAATATAAATATATATATATATATAAACAACTACAAAATGAGACAGTTAAGACACTTATGCTAAATCCTATTTATAAGCGTTATTACCTAATTTCCCTCTGAGATCAATAAAGTATTTTTGAAATGAACTGAATTACTGCCTCGTGGCTTTAATTAGAAGTATTTATACACTAATGGATACAATATTTCACTGGATATAAGTGTTTCACGTTACATAAACAAATAAAAAATAAAAAGGGTCCATTAGCACTTGTTGACCAAAGTTTCAGCTTCAGTCCATCCATTTATTAGAAATTAAGATTTCTTAGTTTTGTAAATATTATAAAACGTTAACAAGTTTCAGTTTATTTTCAAGTTCCACTCAATCATTTGTAAAACGAAAAACAGACTGAACGGCAAAGAAATTGTGTGGGATTTCAATGGGAAACAGTGATTTAACTAAACAGCTGTCATTGTGACAAATCATGTCTTTAAATCTGTATTTGTTCTGGGAAGGAACTTTTATTAAAACCCATTTGTCCCYCGAGCTAAACTTTTCTGAGAATCCAGATCACAGCTCTCAGGCTTCATCAGCTTCCTTCCTGACCGCTGTGTGAAAATGTTCCTTCAAACAACAGAGAGCAGGAAGGACTTCACCAGATGAAGGTCAACAGGAAGCAACGGGAACTAATTATCCCATAAAGTTCAGAAAACTCTGCAAAAAAATTAACTAAAAAGACAGTTGCTTTATGCAAAAGAGACTAAGGTGGGACAACTAGAGAAAGGTGAGTAAAAAAATACCTTCATTTTTCATGATGTAGTGGATAATGTGTCCAACTGTATCGTTTTCACCGAAGGTGTCGTTCATCTCTGAAAGAACAGACAAATCAGTTTGATATTTAATAACTTTTGGTCACAAAAGAATTTGTGATGACATTTTTTTTTTATTGTTATATTCTGTGACTAAGACAACAAGCAGTTACAGTTTGATTCAAGGATAAAAAGGCCGATGTTAAAAGAAAAGAAACATATTTGGCTATAAAATGGCTACATTTTATTTTGGTGAAACAATTTCTTTTAATTAATTGATAAAGAAAAATTGTAATCCCCACATGGTTCCAAACACTTGAACGACAAAGCCCTGGATTGTCAACAATACCAAGGAAACCCCTAACAGGAAGTGGCAAGGCAAGTTTATTTATATACATCACATTTCGGTAAGACCATTCAAAACGCTTTACACAATGAAAACATAAAAAAATAAGTACATTACAGTGGCAGAATTAAGGAAACGAAAGGAAAGAAAAGCTAAYGTTTCAGTTATTTTAAATAAAACAGTCAAAGTGAACTCTAAACAAATGGGGTTTTAACCTTGATTTAAAACAACTCAGGGTTTCTTACAGTTTTCTGTGCGTTTGTTCCAGATTATTGGAGCATAAAATCTGAATGTGGTCTCCATGTTTGGTTTGGATTCTGGGGATGCAGAGTAGACTTAAACTAGAAGACCTGAATGGTTGATGGACAACAACAAATCTTTTCTTGGGACATCAGTCCTTTAATACTGTAAATGTTCTTCGGGTGACAGAAGGCTGACTTTGTAATGGTCTTTATGTAAAGAGGCCATTTGAGGAAGGCGATTGGTAGAGGTTAAAAGGTGTGCTAAAGGGGGTTCAAGGTCAAACTACCAGAGGAAAAAATGCAAAAAATACAGGAAAACAAAGGAACAGAGGCTATAGAACAATGGGCCTCATGCAAGAACATGTTCGTATTCTTATCCTAAATTTCTCTTACTTTTGTTCGTACGAAGGGTTCATGTGTTATACAACAGCATTAAAAGACAATTTAACTTAATCTAATCAATTTATGTCATTAAAATCTAATTCC